TCTCCTCTTTCTTTGTGTGTTCACAATTCTCAATTTATTTTAGATATTATAAGTGATACATCATAGAGGATCTGGATTCTGTTATAGTCCTCTGAAGAATATTGAACTTTTTTTTTTTTTAAGTAGGTATTGAACTTTTTTTTTTAAGAATTTAGCTGAACTTGAACTCCAAACTTTGTCTTTCCTTGGTTAGTAGTGAATAAAGTTACTGTTTAGTCCTTTTTTTACCTTTAGGTGGGCTGCATGGAGTTTGCCCTGTGGGTATATAGATCAAGAAAGACTCTGCTAGAAGCCAGACAGGGTGGCTCATGCCTATAATCTCAGCAGCTTGGGAGGCCAAGATAGGAAGATCCTGAGTTCAAAGCCAGCCTCAGCAATCGCGAGGTACTAAGCAACTCAGTGAGACCTTGTCTCTAAATAAAATTATATATATATATGGCTGGGGATTTGGCTCAGTGGTCGAGTGCCCTTGAGTTCAATCCCTGGGACCTTCCTGTGCCCCCCCAAAAAGACTCTGCTAGAGATTTGGCCAGAGTTCATTTGAAGAATTTGTGGCTCTTTTCTTTTAGGTATTTCTCCTCTCACCTCCCAGCTCACATGGTTGCCTTCAACTAATTCCTGAACCAGTGTATGTGTTTCTTTCTGAGTTTTAGCTACCTCCTTTAGCTCTGATTAATCGCTGTTCTCAAAGTCCACAAAAACCTGAAAGTTCATCCAGGGCTGTTGTCTATTTCCAAGTGTTCACTACCTTCCATTGGCCCTGCTTTTGGTCACTTTCCAGTGTCTTCAATGTCTTTTTCTTATTTTTGGCTGGAGCTAGAATGTTGGTTCAGCCCCCATCATAGTCGAGAACAACAGATCCGACAGGAATAGTAATTCTATTAGGCAAAAAGAAGAAAGAATGAATTTTGAATTAGACACATTTGAATTTTTTTAAATATTTATTTTTAGCTATAACAATATGGTTATTTTATTTTTATGTGGTGCTGAGGATCGAAATCAGCGCCTCATGCATGGTAGGCAAGTGTTTGAGCCACAACCCCAGCCCAGACACACTTGAATTTAAACTGTGGTTTAGCTCAGGATTTTCTAGGAAACTCCTATGACCTTAACTTCTATGGGGTTAATTAGAAAAGATAGTTCTTTGATTATGAAATTTTACTCATCTGTTCTGGAAATAAAAAGTAGCGGGACAGAATTATTTCCACCACCAGTTAACCTGAGAATATTTTCTTTTTGTTTTGGTACTGGGGATTGAACCCAAGGGTGCTTTACCATTGATGTATACCCCAATCCTGTTAATTTTTTTTTTTTGAGAAAGTGTCTCTCTAAGTTGCTTAAGGCCTCGAGCTAAGTTGCTGAGGCTGTCTTCGAACTTGTGATCCTCCTGCCTCAGCCTCCCAAGTCACTGGGATTGCAAGCATGTGTCACCTTGCCTGACTTCTTTCTTTTTAACTTGTGGTGCTGTAGCTTGAACTCAGGGCTTTGTACATGCTGAGAACATGCATGTAGAACATGCACCAGCCCTGAGAATATTTTATATTTATGTGATTATGAGAGGATTTAACTTTTGTATTTAATGGCAAATATTTAATTGTGGAAGGTTTGTTATGAAAATGGAAAAGTTAATGTTGTTATGAACAAGTCCCTAAAGATTATATTGCTTTAAAATCTGAAGATATGCATTGTGTACAAAATATTATTTATTATTAATATTTACTTGATAGCTAAAGAGTCTTTACTAATGATAAACTAATTTAATTATATTTATATCCTTACTGTCTGATAAAAGTTCAGATAATTTGTTGTCATGGAAAAATTAGTTGAAAGAATGAAAGAAGACCTTGATTGATAGCAAGTTTCTTTTTGTTTCAATAAGATATCTTTTTCTTTTTGAGAAGATCCAATCACCCATTTGATATGATTTTACATTTCATGAATAGGTGTAAGTTAATGGATAAAAATATAACTCTTCCTTGATTTATTTTATGAACAGTTTTTCTATTTTAGCTTATATTTAAGCAATTTTGAAAAACAAAATTAGTGGGTGAGTTCACCATGGAAGAACAGAAAGAAGAACAGGGGATTGAATAGAACTTCTTTCTAAGACCTTTTATTATCTTACACTAGTGGTATTTCTTATAGGTATAGCACTTGTCTTAGGTGGCACTAAGCATTTTATGAGACTGTTGACAAATTCTTAGATGGTTTTGTAAAACTTAAAGCTGGAAGACCAGTCTGTCTTATCTAGTTGATAGAAGCTGTTTGTGTGTATTTCAAACCATAAAGGAAAAACATTTTATTGGATGTGAAAAAAAAATGGATTCTAACTACTTTGTGACTCTGGGCAAGCCATTTTACTGTTATGGGACTCAAAATGCCTGAGAGCTGAGTTTATTTTTTCCCTTAGAATAAGCTCTAATCAAGAGCAGAAAGATTAAAATACTCTTTAAAAAGGTACTTGGAGATACGATTTGAAATAGAGAAACTGGTATGACTATGTAATAACAAATCCCATCATTATATATACCTGTAATGTACTAATAAAAAATGTGGAAAGAGGAAAAAAAAGAGAGAAATGGAAAAACTGAATTTTCTTCTTCAAAATCAGAACCTTTCACGCATATGTCTGTCAATGAGTTCAGATAGTACCAGTAATTTAATTTTTCAAGAGTTGATATTCAACATTTTATTCTGTTCTTTTAGGCCTTAGCTAAAGAAGACATTGATGCAGCTATTCAATCTATCTTATGTAGAGAAAAGTATATAATTAAGGTAAGAACTGGCTACAAAACTTATGTCAATGAACAAATTAAACTTTTTTTTTTCACTTTCAATGTAATGTACCCTGTAAAGAATTTTAGAAAATAGAATCTAAAACATTTTTTAGCACTGGGATTAACTTTAAGGGATCCTGGGAGTGTTTCTTATAGAATTTCTTTCTTCCTACAAGGTGGGGGGGAATTCCTTTAATAGATACATCTGAAGAATATCTGCTTACTCACTTGTTCCTTCATTTTATAAGGATTCTACTGAGTCACTGTGAATCACCTAATTTTTAGAGTGTGATCAGAACGCCTGGTTGATTATTAATTATTACTCAGATATGCATGGGTGAGCACTGGATTTAACTGTAGCAGGATGAGCTTAAGAGAACATCCATGCAAAGTATAATAAAACTGTCACTCTATTTTTAAGAATTTTCTTTAGACAAGCATGGTGGCACAAGCTGTTAATCCCATTGACTCAGGAGACTGGAGGCAAGAGGATTGCCATTTTGAGTCCAACCTTAGCAACATAGTAAGACCCTCAGCAATTTAGTGAGACCCTGTCTCAAAATAAAAAATGAGAAGGGATGAGGATGTCACTCACTGGCAAAACACCCTTGGGTTCAATTGCAGTAACGCACACACACAAGAATTTTCTATCATATTCTTTAAAAAGAAAAGAAATTATCACTGGGGATAACTGAAGAGTATTAGACCCAGAGAACATCTCAGGGTTTCTAATATTTTTTTTTCCTTTTGATTTCATGATGATGCTACCAATCACATAATTTTATTTGTTACATGAAAGGTAGATGAGAGGTTTTAGTGAGAATGTTTAGTTTATGGTCTAATTAGGCATCTTCTTTAAAAGGTTCTAATACACTTTTGCATTTACGTTTCTCTTTCCTCATAGAATGTTCTCCTTCCTCATTCTCTGCCATTCTTTTTTATTATTGCATAATCAAATAATTTTATATTCTTTAAGGCCCAGGCCAAATGTCTCTCACTTTGAAAATCTTTTTTTTTTTTAAGTTAATTCCTTTTTTTTTTATTGTGGCAAAATATGTACTGCATAAAATTTGCCATTTTACAACTTTTAAGTGTACCATCAGTTTTATTAAATATGTTCACAATAATTCTGCAATCATCACTGCTATTTCCAAATCCTTTTGTTACCCCTAAACTGAAATACTGTACTCAATAAGCAGTTAACTACTTATTTTTACCTCTCCCAAAGCCCCTGGTAACCACTAATCTACTTTCTGTTTCTACAAAACAGATTGAACCCAGGGGCACTTTACCACTGAGCTATATTCCCCAGCCCTTTTTTATTTTTTATTTTAAGACAGGGTTTCACTAAGTTGCTTAGGGGCTCACTAACTTGCTGAGGCTGGCCTTGATTTAATCCTCTTGGCTCAGCCTCCCAACAGGCAAGTGCCACCATGCCCAGCTCCACAATTTTTGCCTATTCCATATATTTTACATAGGTGAAATCCTGCAGTATTTGTCCTTCTTTGGCTTATTTCACTTTGGCATGCTATTTTCAAGGTTCAGCCATGTTGTACCTTATACCAGAATCTACCACC